CGCGATGATTGCGTAATAATTCGTGCACGCTCCGGCTTGCAGATCGCGAATCACTGCATACTAACGTATACCTACGTACGGATCCTCTGGCAAACACGAATATATACATACGGACACGCTCGAAACAAGCTCGCATCCCCATTATTTAATGGGATTTCGCGATATAAGCGCCGCGCGAGAGAGAGAGAGAGAGGCATATACGATTGGTTCGGGCATTTGTGCAGCTGCTGCTGTAGCGTAGTTATCCATGCACACGCGCGCGTCCGAGTAGGCGTATAACAACTCTAAAGCTTGCGCGATCGTGTATGTACACACACAGGCTGCAGGGGGCTCGCTCGGCCTCGACGCGCGCGCGCGTGCCCACGCATATGGGTCAGAGATTTTTTTAAAACTACTACCCGTCGTGCCTCGACTGCTGCGCGCACGACGCGCGGGGACAGAGAGGAAAAAAAACAACTTTTTTTGCGTTATTTACCGATATCGTAAACAGACGCGTCGCGCGGATCGACGTGTAGCATCGACGATGCCAGAGGCTACTGTCGCCGCTGCTGCTGCTGTGTAGAGCTCAACGCGAAAAAAAATCTCTTTAGAATTTTATCCTCGCTCCGCTGCGTGCTGCTGCGGTTCTCGTCTCCAACTCGGGGCTGCAGCTGCACGACTGCAGCAGCAGCAGCTGGTGCACACCGTGCCGCGAAATTGCCGCGCGTAAACCAGATTATGCTCGAGAGTAGTAAGCGAGCTGCGAGCTCGTACCTGTGTGCAGCTCTACGTACGCGCGACGTACGTGATGCCACCGAGCAACGACTCGACTGCGCACAGGCACACATGCACACGTATATATGCACGTAAAACAGAGGCCAGAACGTGATGCTCCGCGCGTGTCTCTTTTAGTCTTGGTGCCAACAGATACATGCACTTATTTATTAATGACAACATCTGTCAATTTCAGAATTTGCTAGTCTATCGTACATTCGCTGTAGCTTTTTTCAGTAACTGCGGCTTTTTCGGCATAGATTTTTTAAAGCTCGTCAATTCTGTAGAGATTAAAAAAATGTATAAGGTTCTATTACCAACGTGTTCTTTTGCGCGAACTAGATGTAGTCTGTCGAAAGATTTTTTGAAAGTACTTAGTTATAGGTCAAAAAATTCTTCGAGGAAATTGTTGCGAAGTTAGAATTTTGAATTGGTTCGAATATTGTAAGGATAACGCATAAACAGATAAATCGGTAACTTAATTGTAAACAATAACGTCCTAAACGATTTCGACATCGTCCCTCGACGCACTGATTCTGTTTACAGTGAAAACAAATTAGTTTTAATGTTGTCTTTTCCGATATCACCGTTCAATCTTGTCTTTGCTGTTATACCAAACAGATACATTTTACACATTTAATTTTGGACACAAACTGGATAAAAGTGAGAAAAAATCCAAGGAAGTTATCTCGAAAGATAATATGAATAAGCATGACATTGTTGTTTCAAGCAACAAAAAATACGTTTGTGATGTTTGTTATAAGGCATTTAGACTAGAATCAAGTATGATAAAACACCAAGACACAATTCACAATGATCAGAAAGAGTACGCGTGTGAAAACTGTTCGAAGATATTTGAAAGTAAACAGAGTTTATTGGTACACATAAAAGCAGTACATGATGGTAGCAAAGATATTGCCTTCAAACAATTCAAAAATTACTCATGTGACAAATGCGAAAAGAAATTCGGACGAAAATCGGATTTGCTTCGCCATCAAAAAATAGTTCACAAAGGCCAAAAAGATTACGAATGTGACACGTGCGAGAAGAAATTTGGACAAAAAATAGATTTGTTGAAGCACCAAAAAGTAGTCCACGAAGGTCGCAAAGATTACGCATGCAATACATGTCAGAAGAAATTCGGACATAAACTGCATTTGCTCAACCACCAAAAAATAGTACACGACGGTCGCAAAGATTTTGCTTGCGACTATTGCGAGCAGAAATTTGGAGAAAAATCGAAATTGATTAGGCACCAAAAGACAGTACACGAAGGTCGCAAAAATTACTCATGTGACAAATGCGAAAAGAACTTCGGACAAAAATCGGATTTGCTTCGCCATCAAAAAATAGTTCACGAAGGCCAAAAAGATTACGGATGTGACACGTGCGATAAGAAATTTGGACAAAAAACAGATTTGTTACAGCACCAAAGAACAGTCCACGAGGGTCGTAAAGATTTCTCATGTGACAGGTGTGAGAAGAAATTCGGACGTAAATCAATTATGCTCTTACACCAGATGACAGTACATGAAGGTCGGAGAGATTTTGCGTGTGACCAGTGCGAAAAGAAATTCGGACATAAATCACATTTGCTTCGCCATCAAAAAATATTTCACAATGATCGCAAAGATTTCGCTTTCAAAAACTTCAAAAATTACGTATGTGACAATTGCGAAAAGCAATTCGGACACAAATCGAATTTGCTTCGCCATCAAAGGGTAGTTCACCAAGGCCAGAAAGATTACGGATGTGACACGTGCGAGAAGAAATTTGGACAAAAAACAGATTTGTTGAAGCACCAAAAAGTAGTCCACGAAGGTTGTAAAGATTACGAATGTGACAAATGCGAAAAGAAATATGCACACAAATCGCATTTGCTTTGCCATCAAAAGATAGTTCACGAAGGTCGAAAAGATTTCGTATGTGACAAGTGTGAGAAGAAATTTGGACTCAAATCAGATTTGTTACAGCACCAAAGAACAGTACACGAAGGTCACAAAGATTACGCATGCAACAAGTGCGAGAAGAAATTTGGGAAAAAATCGCATTTACTTCAACACCAAAAGACAGTCCACGAAGGTCTTAAAGATTTTGTATGTGACAAGTGTGAGAAGAAATTCGGACATAAATCGTATATGCTCTTACACCAGAAGACTGTTCATGAGGGTCGCAATGATTTCGCATGTGATAAGTGCGAAAAAAAATTTGGACGAAAATCTGATTTGCTTCGCCATCAAAAAATAGTTCACCGAGGTCGGAAAGATTACGCATGTGATAAATGCCAGAAGAAATTCGGATCTCGAGGCCATTTGAAACGACACCAAAAACTGGTTCACGAAAATCGCAAAGATTTCGCATGCGACAAGTGCCAGAAGAGGTTTGGAGAAAAATCGAAATTGATTAAACACCAAAAAAAAGTTCAAAAATGTTGTAAAGAAAACATGCCACTAATGCGAGAATTAATTATGATTGACAATTGTAAATATGAGTTGATACTTATGGATATACAGGAGGAGGATTAAATATAGAAACCCTTGGAATTCTCGCACAAAATTTCATTTCCGACTTATTTTTTCACAGGGAATTCACTGGTGACTTTAGATTTGACCTTGAATATAAGCTCAAAGCTACAGCGAACCAGAAAAATTGTTTTAACAAGTTGAAACCCCTGATTTTTATTAAAGATTTGAAAAGAGCAGAAATTTTTACGTTCGACCGTGTCTTTGAGCTTATGTTCAAGATCAAATCCAAAGTCACAACTGGATTCCCCTGTGAAAAACTATGTCGGATATGAGGTTGTCGATTTATTTTCCTAACTTATACTGCGAGATATCCAGGGATTTGCTTATTTATTCCCGACCTCGTGTATATATTTTTAATTTTAATAAAAATTGGACGGAAATGTTTGAGTTTATCTGATATCCACTATCAATACACCTTTGTTCACTGTCTTTGTAGTGATATGATCAGTAATAACAATATCTTGCCTCAAAAGAACCGTGGAAACCATTTGATAATTTCATTTAAACCAACACTTTTTCTAATTCATCACTTCTTCCGTCTTTTAACTTATGCAGGATTCTTGAAAACAGCTTTTACTTGTTTTCTTGTCCTATATCGAGTAGAAATTCTAAAAACGAGTTTGATAGTAGAATTATAGATAAATATGAATAATATGTTACGATTATTGATATATATCCTTACATTAATAATAGCCAAATGGCCAAAAAATGATCGTTCATTTATTAAAATACATTAAAATTATATGGTTTATTTTAGACGATTTTTCTGTAATAATTATTTAGTTTAATTAATTAATTACAAGTATTGGTAAAAATCAATTTAATTTTTTTGTAAGTTTAAACTATAGTTTTAAACCGCTTTAAATGCAATAATTTAAGCCTCCACCACTAGATGGCGGGTAAGTTTATCTTTAAATCCACAAGGAACAAAGTGAAAATAATTGTGTAAGACAAAATTAGGGTTTTGAAAAAAATTTAGTACTCATCACTTTAATTACGATTGTACTACTTTGAGCTTTCGTCTCTAAATGGCAGTTGCATACAGTGGGGGGTCATGGAGCATAACAATCATGCCATAGCGTAAATTTGGAGAAAAGGAAATTTGCTCTTACATCATAAGAATAGTGCACGAAGGTTGCAAAATACGCATGCGAGAAATGCGCGAAGAAATGATGATTGACAATTGTAAATATATCTATCGATAATTATATATGCTTTTTTCTAACATTATAGTTAACATTTTGCTGTAATTATTATGTCTTATTTCATATTATATTTGATTTAGGCCAGAATAACTAAAAAAATGTATAGTGGATATCCGGTAGACTAACCGACTCAAACATTTACCAATTGTTATTAATAAATTACGTTATACGTCGGTGGTACTCGAACTATTTCTTTGCTGCCCTCGCATCCCTTTTTTTTCAACCCGAGACGTCAGCCAAAGCCTCTCCACTTTCGTTGCTTTATCTGCCTTCGCAAGAGACGGACAGAGAGAGAGAGACGATGAAATTTAACGCCACTACGACGCGTACAACAGGTGAACAATTCGCTTTGGTATTTATAAACGGAACTCGGCAATTTGTCCGTAACCGTGTGCAGCGGCAGATCGTCCGAGCGTCGGGCGCGTCGACGGCCAACTTTTCCGTGCGTCGATTTATATACGGGGGGGGGGGGGGGGGGGGGNNNGGGGGGGGGACGAAATAATTTTGCTGTACTTACCGACAAGCGCTAAAATCACAGTAAGAAGAGAGGCGACTGGAAACGACACGGTGGCGTTGAATTCCAACATTTGTAAAAGGTCCACTGCAAAGAGAAAAAAGAAAAAATAGAGATTGCACAATTAAATCATTTTTACGTTTATTTATGTTTTTTCCTTCGGTTCAACTTGCGCTACGCGAATGCGTAATTTTGCGCATGTGAACAAAATTAATCCTATCAAGTTTCTAGTCCGGTCAAGTTTGTACCCTCCTCCTCCTCCCCCTTGGAAAGCTTTGAGTACTGCTACGCAAAGACGAGAAAAACTCATTCACTGCATTATGAACTTTATATGCGTCGTACGCTCTAAATATTTATATTGAGCGCGCGCCGCGCTCTCTCAAAGGCTGAAAGTTCAGGGAAAAAGAGCATGGAAAAAAAAAGAAAATTACACCCTGCGTGTACTCCTCTGCTGGATTAGATGTTGGATATTTGCATGAGTAACGAGGCTACGGTATGTCATGAATGAACGATTAATTACCATACATCTTGCACCAGCTTGAAAAAAAAAACTTCACAACTCTCATTTATCTAGATGCGGTATTGGATTTATGAACTGATTGCCCCTCTTCGCCGAAGGAAAAATGTATTATCAATCACTAATCTTACGAATGCCTATGGGTCTTTCAAGTGCCCCTAATCCTAATAGCTGTAACATTTCTATCGATGTTTTAAAGGAGGTAGTGAATTTATAATAACTCTACATAAATTTGATAATTGAAAAAAAGCGTAGAAAAGAAGAGCATTTCAGGATCGTGGCGTAAAACAACGAATCAATATGGAGCCCCTTCGAAAATTTTAATCCGAGTCTCAGTTGCTCGGGACACGCGTACAGCATTAACTTCCTGTGTTTATATAAACAGATAGGTATATATCGTGGTGCCGCACGTACCAAAGCCAATGTTCACTTTGGACATCTTACGTACGAGCGCCCGAAAATATATAAACGCACGGCTGGGTAGTAGAATATATATATATTGTATCACTATGTATCAAAGCTGATTATGTAAGCCTCCGAGAGTCTGATGGGCTGACTGTTTTCTTATGTTAATTTTCATATTTCGGCCGATTATACTGGGAAAATACAGCGCGCGAATTATTATATCTATACGTGCAGTGTGTCTTTTCTTGCTCGTCTCTCTCTCGGCTCTCGCGCGAGTAATAGTCTTTTGTTGTTCTTTGCGATCATCGTTTCGCTCGCTATTAACGGCAGGCAGCAGCGACGAGGTAAGTTTTCCAGCGCGAGAAAACATTAAAACGCATTATGCTATTCATGAATTGCTATTGAACGTCCTGGATGCCGAACTTGTTTCCCGTAGTTTTCACGACAAAAAAATTAAATGTTCCAAAAAATGCATAATAAAGCGAGAGTGCTCGAGTGACTATACGAAATGAGTAATATTCGGAAAGTATTTTAAAGTGCAATCATTATTATTTTCATTCGAGATTATGACATAATCTCCTCCGAAAAAAAAATGAAGCGCTGAACTTGCCTAATTACTTAAGCTCGAATCATAATAACAAAAAGTTGGTCCTCCCCTTTTGCACTCTTTCTCTCTCTCAAAAAAAAAAGGAGGAAATGATCCAGCTCTCGTTCAAAAACGATCAACTAGCAGCGAACGGTATATCCATTTGAATTTCCTTCGTAGTTGTTTTGGTCATGTTATAAGTTGGAATTAAAATCCGTCGGCTCATTAGAAATAGCGTCGATTGATGCGCGTCGAGCTTTCGTGCGGGTGTTTTTTTAAGCGGAAAACGTAAAGAAATTGCATCTTAGAGCGGCCAAAAGAAGAACACGAGTCGCTTTATATATCTCGCTGACTGTGTACAAATCAGCACGTAAATACTCATTAGCCGAGATTACCTTCGTTACCGGGGCATTATTCCAAAGAGCCGACGATTGTCGTTATATTAACCTCTCTCTCTCTCTCATTCTCTCGCACAAACACACGCATACAAACATTGGCTATGCGCTGGTATCTGTGCACATGCAGGTGAGCCCACCTCCCCTCTTTCTCTCTCTCTCTGATCCGTGCAGGCCAGGTAACATGAACGAGCTAGAGAGAGAAAGAGCAACGATACAGTATTAAAGCACAGAGAGCTTCTATTATACGAGTGAGCGTGAGAGAGAGTTGAACTCGTCGTCGATTATGACGATGACCCAGCATCGCGCCCAGAGTATTCGCCAATAACATAGACAACTGGCTGCTGCTCCCTCACCGGCCCTCCATCCTCCTCTACCTCATCCTCCTCTGCAGGCGTATTTCCTCCCCTTCGTAATAATAGCAATTAAACCGTCGACTCGGCTGTTACGTAATCTGTGTATCTTTGGATTTAATGCCCGAGGGTTGCTGCTGTCGCTCGCTCGCTCGCTCGCTGCTGGAGAGAGAGACAGAGACAGAGACAGACAGAGAGCGTCCTTTGATGGATTTTACGCAGATTTTTTCATTCGTTTTGTCTTTATTATTACCACAGAGATAGTGAGTGAGTGAGAGGAGAGAGAGAGAGAATGGAGAAAGCACCAAATAGCACCCCCCGCGAGCCGTAATTAATACCTGGGCTAAAAGCTGATTTACGATAAAGCGCCATCGAGATAGATTGATTTTTCAACATATAGATTATATATTTATGGTGAATGGGAAGATTTTGCTCATTATTGCTCGTAATTACAACTACGTACAATTAAAAAAATATATATCGAGTTTATTTCTCTTTTGTGTCCAACTACATACAAGCGATTTCCCTTTTTTATTATTCGAATTCGATTTTTATATACATAATTTGCCCCACCACGCTACTTGGATTATACAATGTATCTTACAAAGCCTAAATTATCAAAAAATGCACGAAATATATGGTACGATAACGTGAGAAAAATCAAATCTCGACTCTAAGTCCTTTTTACGAGCTTGATCCAGCATCCGTCCTTCATGACGGTATTGAAATTTTTTTTACTGTACACCGGCGGATCGGCGGTCTTCGCGTCGAGCTCCAACGCGAAGCGGCGCAAAATATCGAAGAACAGCACTTTGGTCTCCATCAGGGCGAAGCGATTGCCGATGCACTTTCTCGGACCGGCGCCGAACGGCAGAAAATTGTAATCCGTGATGCCGCGCTTCCGCTCGTCGCTGAACCGCTCCGGATCGAATCTCTCCGGGTCCGGATGATTTTCCGGGTCGCGTTGGATCGCGTAAATGGGTATGACCACCTTCGTGCCCTGTGGAACTCTCGTACCCACGGAGCAGCCTTCCCTGTGCGGCGGCAAAGTGATGGCGTTGAGACAGGTGCGATCCGTCAGTGGCGTCGGCGGATACAGCCGCAGGGTCTCGTTCACCACCATGTCGAGGTATTTGAGGTCTCTGATTCCGTCGTAAGTGAGGTCGCCGTTGGTCGCGATGTACTCGTCCACCTCGGCTCGGGCTTTCTCCTGGATGTCCGGATTGCGGGCCAGCTCGTAGGCCAAGAAGCACATGAGATTCGAGGCAGTGTCGAAGCCCGCCGAGTAAAAGATGAAAGCTTGGGCGATGATGTCGTCGATGCCCACCTCGATCCTCTCGTCGTCCAGGCGGCCCTCCTCCTCCTGTTTGCGTCTGGCTTCCATCAGCATGTGAATCATGTCCGCGCGTTCGGAGCCTTTCTCCTCTCTGTTCCGCACCACCTTCGTCACAACTCCCTTGAAGAATTCGTCGTCGGCCTTGGACAGAAATCGGATTCCCAGAAAGCGCATGAGATTCGGCACGAGCTTGTACGAGACGAGCTTGACGAATTTCCACAGGCTCACGGACGACACGGAGCCGCGATGGCCGCGCACGAGAAACTCGTTGTCGCGATCGACCATCGAGTTCACCTCGATGCCCAGAGTCGTCGAGGCGATCACGTCGTTGGTGTATCTCGACAGCGCGTCCTTGCACTCGATCGACGCGCGTGCCTCGGGATTCGCCGCGAAATACTCGACGAACTCGGCGCTGCAGCGCTTGACCAGCTCGAACATCTGCTTCATCTTGAGCGCGGTGAAGTTGGGACTGAGCAGGTTGCGAAAGTGACGCCAGCGCGAGCCCTTGAGCGAGAACAGATTCTTGCCGAGGATCGGGTCCATTTCCTCGGTGACGAAGGCGGAATGATTGGAGAAGTCGTTGAAGTGCTTGACCATGATCAATTGCACGATCTTGGTGTCCTTTACGACGATGACGGGCGTGGAAAAGTCGGAGGCGCCGAAGTAAGAGGCGCCCGGGAAGGACCTGTAGAGGTGTACCATGTGATCCGGAAGCGATTTCAGCTTGAAGAAACACTTCCAAAAGTGACCGATGACAGGCGCGGAGACGAGAATGGGCAGGTGACGCTGCGTCCAGAATTCCTCGTACTTTTTTGATCTCAGCTTTTTGATCAAACAAGCAACGACGAGAGCCAAAAATCCACTGATCAGAAAACTCGCACAAGCACTCGATCCGGATTTCGCATTGATGGGATTGGTCCACGAGTATTCGGTCATGTTGGCTGCTCGATTATTCGACCGTTCGACAATTTTTATTATCACTTACAAAAAGTATCGATCTAAGTTTTCGAGCTTTCGTCGGATGGTGTAACGGCGATAAATTCAGAACAACGACTGTTTGGCAATTTGTTTGCCGCAGCATCTATATATATGTGTGTCATTGTGATATAAATTAGAGTGAAAAAGGGATGACACCGCGCGATTCGCGTTACCGTATACGTAACGCGTCTGTGTTAACTCTGTACACTTTTTCTCTCTCTTGCTTCGCTCCCACCTTTTTTTTGCGCGAATCACGATGTAAGAATCGCAAATATGTGTGTTCCTCTTTCTCTTTTATCATAAGTAACGATTGATAAAGGCACGAAATACGGAAGTTCTATTAGCGAAGTTGTAAAAAAAAAAAATAAATAAAAATACAAAGATATTTGAATGGCTCGTTTGACGTATAAGGATGCACTCGAGGCGTTCGTTGCACTCGTGCTCGTAGTAAACGCATAAAACTGCATAATTCAATGGAATGAATGCAAAACAAGCTTATCTCTCGTCTTCGACGACTCTCCGTCTAGGTATCGTTATCGTGCATAAGCGTAATCGAAAACCGAAAATTTGATAACATTTCAGTCTGTACTGATTAATGCTACATTTAGCAATTATCAATTTGGGTCGGCCAATTAATAAAAAAAAAATTTAGCGAACGTGCAAATGCGTGTGTAAGTCGTCTCGACTGAAGGTTCAACTTTTTTTTTGAGTTCAACAACCTCAAATTTTTATATTTTTACAGTATATATTTTAAATGCTCTGTTTTCATCATTTTGACTCGTTGTGATTGAATTAAATTTAAAAATACTTGACTTACCTATAAAAACGAAGATTTGATGGTGGGAGTACCTCAGCAGCATCGAAATGGACACAGTCTGAAAAAATATGATGATTATATAAAAGTTTCACATTGATACACTGATACATTGGTTGTGCATGCATATTATAATGAAAATTATTGGTACATTGATACATTGATTGTGCATGCATATTATAATGAAAAATATTGACTAGATAATTGATGTACTATTTTGAGTATTAAATAAGATCAATATAAATGTCAATTTAATACTGTAAGAAGTAAGAAGAGGATTTGGTTGTATGTGACACGCTCTTCAAATTTCAAACGATGAAAAACGTACTGCATTCGTTCGCATATACTAATATTAGGAACAACACATTAGACACACCCACTAATCATAGAAACCGTTCTTCGACTTATATGCAATTATTTTGACTTTGCCACTTGTAGATTTACAGATCAAGGTACTCGCCATCTAGTGTCAGAGACTCAAATTATCCCATTACAAGAAATCGAAAACTGGTCTGAATTTTATGAACCAATAAAATCGTTATTTTCAAATCATTTAAAATGTGTTTAATATTTTTCACGTATGATGTTAACAGAAAAATCACCAAAAACAACCCAATTAATAGTAATGTAATTTGAAACTGTTCAAACGATCATTTTTTTGATTACGAGGCCACTATTAAAGTTAAGCATTTCTGCCAGCGAGATATACATTCGATTAATAATCATCGATCCACGATTACTCAATCAAAATAGAAATCGAAGATATTTTATTTTGCACACAACGACGAGAGTCTTTCATATCGCCATCTGTCATCGTCATTTCGCCGTCGAGTATTATGACACAATTTATTCTCCGATAAGCCGCGCGCGAGTTCGTCGACCCTGCACCGCCGATGTACAAGCTTGGATGCCACTTTTTTTTTTGCAACCGTGGGTCAACGATCTCTACGAGCTTCCACGAGCGAATCCATCCTGGAGAGTGCGGGGATATTCGAACGTATAACCGCGCAGCCAGTACGGTGCAAGATTACGAAAACAAATCCATCCCCGGGCTTCTTATATAGGTGCGCGATTCGATTTCGAGACAAAATGCGGGGTATCGCACACGTAATACTTGGGAATTCTACCGAAGCACCACCGCGAGAGGTGCGAGAGAGAGAGAGAGAGAGAGAAGCTGCTGCTGCCGCTGCAACGGGCATAGGTATTACGGAGCATGGAGTCTTTGTACACGCGACCGAGTGAGAGAACAATCGCGGCGTGCAGCTTTTCCGTGCTGATACACGTGACCCAAGAGAGAGAGAGAGAGAGAGAGAGAGAGAGAGAGAGGCCTGAAATGCATTATATACATTGTACGCGTGTTTATATTTAAAGGCCGAAACGTCGCCGTCACGTGCCGAGACACGAGAGCGCAACCCTCTCCCCATATACAGGCAGGCAACGGCATCTCTCTTTCTCTCTTGCGCTCCGCAAGTTATATTATACGTATGCGCGCGGGGCTGCTGCAGCCCCTCTCGTTTTGCGCGCGAGTTATACCCGCGCGATATCGCGGCCATAATCGCGCGCATGCCAATATTATATAATACAAGTTTCAATTAAAGCGAGACACGCGGGCAAAGATTCCGATTAGCGCGTCGACGAATTATATAGCGATTGTTATATATACGTACGTGGCAATTCGTACTATATATGCCTAGTTATAATGTGGAGCTTGAATCGACACAGAGCTTGCGGATTCTTCCCAGATGGTAATTAGCCACCGGTGGAAGCGAAAAAAAAATCGTTTATCCAATTACCGGCGGTTTATAGGCGCGCGCACTTCGATAACGATTGTTAAATCAGTGCTGCTGCTGCTGCTACCTCGCGCAATCGGATGATCGCGATTTAGCTGTATACACTGTATGCGTTAAACATTTATTCATCGCAGAGGATCTCTCTCCTGGTAAGCAGCAGCAGCAGCTCAAGAGCCGAGCTTTGACGGATAGCGTTATACAGGTATATACCATACATATAATCAAAAGCATTTCGCCGTGGAGCCGAAAGATTCGCGCTCGTGTGATCTTTCTCCCAATACGAGCGCATAAGCGTGTCGATATACGATTCGACGTGTGTGCGCGCGCGTTATATACGCATGCCCATCTCGATATAATAGGAATATTCATCGCACGTAATGTTATAATAATGATCTGCGCGCGTTATATAACGAGGAATTGGCAACTGCAGGTGTGTAGGCAGCGGCCGTATAGCAACATCGAGTCTTATGAATGGAGATTTATGTAGCAGAATTTCCGCAGATTTGGATTAAGCGCGTTGCAGAGTACAGCCGTTGGTTGGCCGTTTGCGAATATTGTATTTGCATAAAAAGATCGTTATTGGTAAATACGTATGTGCTTCGCGTGCTATATCTATATTATATATACTACAACGAGTCAAATTCCAGCATCGGTCGTTGCTGCAAGCTCGACGCGCAGCACGCGTGCAATTATCAACCACCCGACCCCCGACAACAACAACAACAACAACAACGTGTCATCGTTTTCGACCAGCAGCAACAATAATAGCAACAACGACGGATGCACACGCCGACGATGAAATGACCCAATTTATATATTGCATCGTCGCGCGCAAGCACCGAATTATTATAAACGCGTTGGTGCGGCGCGCAGACGGCGATGATCATTGCGATGAACGTGTCCATCGTCGTCGTGTCCATACGTTATATATGTATGTATGTATTTAAATAACGATGATGACACACACACATACAGCGACGCACGATCGTCGCGCGAGTTCTCGCGGATTGCCCGACGCACACATTTATATATGTAGGTAGGTAGGTAGTAGCGGCGAAAGCTCAGCGCGCGCCTAGATAACAGCTTTATACTGTCAATTCGATAAACTGTCAGTTTGCCCGGGATAATACATTTTTAATGATAATTCGCCGTGATTATGTGCCTTTCGGATTCGTGTGAATGTGTGTGTGTGCGCGCATACGTTGAAAATGTTGAAATATCTCCGACTCGATTCAATTTCTCATCGCGCGACGCTCCGCAGTATAGACGCATATATACGAACGCGATGTATATGAAATCGCGCGTTAAAAAAAAGCTCACCCACCCCGTATACATATAGGTATAGGTACTTGTAAGGGAGGAGGTAATTATTGCCATACTCTTATTATACGCGCGCCTAAAACAAAACCTCGAGGAGTTGGGTAACACAACAACAACACATCGCGTTACACCCAATGGCTAGTAATACGTATTCCCTGTGTATATTATATCCTCGAGCTCAGGGGGGGTTGGGTGCATATATACCATATACACAACGGTAGGTATGTGTGTGTATGCGTGTGCAACACACTAGAGCCGAGCGCGAGCGTGGAGAGATCTCCTATCCTGTATAATTTGATATCTAATGGCCAGGCGAGCAGCGGCAGCAGCTCGTCCTGCCCATACGTGTGTATGCTTGTGTGTGTGTGTGAGCAGAGAATACACACTGCACAACGCTATATACACACGAGGGCGTGTATATACGCGGCGATACTCGGCGGCAGCAGCCCCGGCGTCACGCGAATAAGACACTCTTAATAACGCTGATTTATAACTACACACACACGGACGCGCGCCTCCGATGATGCCCCAACGGTGGTGGTGCTGGTAGCTCGTGCGTGCTCGCGCTTAGTTGAAATAGATTACCGACCCCCTCCCCCCCCCGCTCCTCAAAGTATAGACGTATCGTCTTGCACGCGACGACGACGACGACGACGAGAGGCTATAGTGCGATTTTTCACGGATCCCCGTGTGTGGGTATATTATAGATCTATGTTGCACGGCTAGTCGGTTGGTTGTCAGCCGCAAGCTCGCCTCGGCGATATTTATATACATTTAACGTGTGGATGACGAGACGTTACGATTTAATTTTCAGTTGTGAAAGACAGTATTTTTGTGTAAACGCGAGGGTACGTTTGTCTATTTGTCAGACCTAATTATAAGCAAACATAATTGGTTCAAAATGAACGTGCAAGGGCACCTCGTTTGCGTTTTTACACAAGGCGCTTTTCAGAGCTTTCGTTTTCTTGATATATCTCATTGTATAATCGAACATTTCGATAATTGACATTATACAGATTATACTGTACTCTTGTCTCTCACATTCGAAATAGTTGCTAAGAAACAACCAACATGATGCATTTGAAATAAATAATAGTTAAAACTGTCGTTTCGATTCTGCACTATTAAGATTTTCAAATTAAGGTAAAAGTGAAAATTATTCAGCTCGTTATCCAATACTTTTAATGATAGATAATCTTAATTTTCACCCCATTAGTTTTAGTATTCCAAATTTTCCCAAAGAATGTGTATCAGTGATCGTTCAACGAAAGCTCGCACGCATTTTCTTCGTTTGCCATCAGTCGCTTGTATGACCATTCGAAAGCTCTTTCACTAGGATACGCAAAACCCTACTTTACCATCATTGAAATTATCTTTATCGGTCGTTACTCTGCAGATCTTTGATAAAGGAAAAATCAATTTCGATACAACAGCAAAAATGATTACTTACGAAAATTAACATGATGAAAAATGCAGCTATGTACGCGGTCCTCGACATCCACATGCTGACGAAACGGTAATGCTCACCAGTAACAACATTTCTGCAATAGAAAAAGATTTTTCATCGGTTCGGTATTTGAATTTCTTCGCAGTACTTGACAAAGTTCATGACGGAATTTACCTTAAAAAACCTTTGTTATCTTCGTGCTCTGCCAACGTTTTTATACTGGCCATTAAAAGATCATCGTATCCTAAAAATTCATCGAGAAAAAATCGTGAAAATGAATCACCGAAACATTTATCGTTCATGGGATCCAATGTCACGATTTTAACAGGAATATTTAATTTTTGTCGAGCAGCCGGAGAAAGCCTTAAAAAGCCATATTCCAAAGAATATTCGACGATATATTCATCATCTGGAAAAACTATATTTAGTTTATAATTGTTACTAAGAGACTACTGCATATGCAATCAATCTTTTAACAACTGAAAAAAGGATTATTGTACCTGCTTTCAAAATTTTCTCGACTTCCGAAACTTGTTCTTTCAAAGGCTGAATAATGTTATCTTTGTCGGCGGTGCTTTTAGTGTCTTGATCGGTAATATTATCTTGCGGTTTTAATGTTCTCATAGTCGCGGATGTTGTTTCCTGAAAAAATCGAACAATTAGAATGGAATAACGATCTTACATTAAACCAACTAATGTGTATTTACGTCTATTCGATCTTGTGAGTAGCCTTCCCATAAGTGGGTTGATAAAAATGGACTCATAGCTGGATTAACTGCACTAAAATTATGCAAGCTATCTAATGTGGCATCTCGTAAATTTAATCCTTTGTCAGACGTACTTAAATTTTGTAAACCTTCATCGAGGGAATGAGAACCTTGGTCGTCGTCTACAGCTGATGGTTCAATATTTATGAAACTACAATAAAAAATATTTGTTTGTAATTAACTTGGACTTGTTAGCTTCATTATAAATGAGTAAACAGAAACTAACCCATCTCTTGCTAATATTCCTAACACAGAACTCAAGTCTTCAACTTTGTCATTTCGTAATTTTTCTTCTTTTGCATAGCTTTTTTCTATATTATAATCTTCTCCGGCATTTCTTAAAATTTCAACTCTAAGTATACCATCTCTAGGCCAATCATCTCTTACATGCTCTAAACAGTTTGCTGGTGTCCTTGAAAATACTACATGAATATACACCAGTACAAAAAATGCGGCTATTGCCTATGGATAAAATTATGAAAGATTCAATCAGTGAAATAGTCATAAGTTATTTGTTCATGTAAAATTATTTTGTAAAACTTACTTTGAGTAAAACCATAAATTCAATCATTCGTCGAACAGGTCGTGGAAAAGTTCTTGCATAAATTAATGCAGTTTTGATAAATAAGGCATGAAAAAGCCTATCTCTAACATTAAACAGTGGATTTTGGTTGTTGTTATTTCTGTTGTTATTTCTGTTGTTGTTTATGTTGCCATCGTGGTTCACGATGTGTGCAACCCCCGCAGGTAAATTATCTAACAGCGACATTATTGTAGTTCTCTTCAAAAATATCTACTTTCAACTAATGCTTTAATTATCAAATTTATTCCACCAGTTCAGTATATTCTTTGCATTCACATGCTCCGCATGGTGTATTAACATTTCCACATTGGAGTTTTCAGCAAGCTTCTGTAACAAAATTAAATTAATTGTTTTTAATGTTTTAAAACATTTTTTATACAAGCAAGTAAAAAAGAAGTATTATTTTTTTACATCAAAATAACCATTGATTTCAAAGCAAGGGACTAGTTTTATACTGCTCACTGTCATGCACAAAGTTATTATTATAATTATTATAATAACTCTAATTAGATGAGCTCATTGCAACAAATGATAACAAACGAATGGAAGGTGTCAATGCTTCTATAATAACCTAAATGATATGAGTCAATGTTGAAACTTTTAAAAGCTGACCAGTATCTCAATCGTTGACTTATCCCGTTAAATTAAATAAAAATCACTCAAAGACGTGAACTTAATCAACTAAGCAATCAGTTGAAACAGAAACGATTGATTATAGCGACGAATCTTGCAGCTCTTAATGAATTTGTAAATTGGAGCAGACACCAAAAGCGTGGCAGGAAGTCATCGAGAGGTGCATTTTGTTGTAAAAAAACATTCGACACGACACGGACGTCAATGTCTCAATGTGCAATAATCGCGGAGCAAAAGCAAAACAAAGTTTCTCGCTCTCTCGCTCGCTGTCTCGTAGAATTGCAATGACGAAAACACATAAACATAACCTATTACGCGTCAGCCAAAACAGACAGACGTCGTATCGCACACACTGACATATATACAACACAAAATGATACAGACGATGCTCTGCGTGCTTTTTTTGCTGCACAGAGCGACGGAGCACTTTTTCGAGATTGATAAAGCGAGAAACTCGCAAGTGCAACTCACGTTTGACGTTTTTATTTGAAAAAACGGAAGCGAGACTCTCGCTGTCACTGGTCGACATAAAGTTCGGTAGTCGGTGCGTATGCGTGCAAGGACGTATATAACTTAAGGACAGCGAATTATGAATGTCGTTAAGTCGTTTTCGCGTTGTTTAATGCCTCGTCGATCGGTGTTAGTGAGTTTGTACGTGTGTGTGTGCGTATTATCTCGTATACACACACGCGCGAGTCGGAGTCAGTCCGTGCGTATACGTATATATATATTGGAAATACGGCCGCACACGGGGTGGGGAATTCATATATTACACTCGTGTATATCGCGCGAGAGCTGCTCTGGCGATATCCGCCGTCGCGCGAACACAACATCGGCTCGGCGCGGACCAGCTGACTTTCACTCGCGATTATATTCGCGCAAAATTTCACGAGACTGCGTGTTATGTTATATGTGTGTACACACATACACAGTAGCTGCGTCTCGTCGCACGCGAGCTACCAGTTTTTTACGCGAGAGAAAAAAAAACTCGTTTTCAATGCCGTTTTGGGGGTGATGCGTGTGCACGAAAAAGGAGAAAAGAACGAGGCAGGCAAGTAGTGACAATTATAGCCAGTATAGCATATCCCTATACGCGTTTTTTCTTACGTAAGTCAGTGTAAATCGGCGGCGGCTGGAAAATCACTCCAACGACGGCGTCACGTATCGATACGAACGTCGATCATGACGACGATATATAACGACTACTTTTAATAACGATTAAATTCGTACGTGACGTCGAATTTTATAACGCGTGTGCGGTATATGCAGCTGCCGCCGCCGTCGCCGCGCGCGCGAATCGCGACGTGCACCTGCGGCTGCGGTGTAATCATACGGCTCTGGTCTCTCTTACATGCACATACATGTTGTGTACACACACAGAGACAGACGGACATTGGCCGTCGTCGCGGCGAACGGTAATATAAAGCTACATCATCGACGATGCAGCACGGAGTTGATTCGAGCACGTAGCTCGCGATGCGTTGCGTTACTCGTATAACATTATACGCGCAGACTACGCGTTGATGTGTGTGTGTATATGTATGTATGCGTGTAACGAATTGAATGTGTCGATATGCAGATATAGGAGAAAATTCACAGCTACGGTACAAATGCATGCACATACAGAATTAGCGCGTCGAGAATACGCGATTCGCGCGCGGCCGAATAAGCCGTATTAACTGCTGTGTGCAGTGCACTCGAGTTGACACTGGCGGCCTGGCACGAGGCCTATATAGGCAGGCATATAGGCGCATGAATGCACGAGTTCGAGTTTAATTTGCATCGGCAATTCATTCACCTTTGAAACTCGCTGGATGTGTGTGTTATAATTTGTGCGACTTTGCTGCTGCTGCTGTTGCTGCCTCGACTCGAGCTTCGTTTTACGAGACAGAGAGCTCGGTCATGCAGCGCAAAAATCGTAGCGCATATTCCGATATAGATGTATATAATAGAGCTGATGCTGCTGCACTGCAACGCGCGCACGAGGCTCGGCTCACTACTGCACGTACTGCACCGCACACACACGCACTATATTCTACGTTCACAGCTGTTTTTTGACTCTTCTGCTCCTCGTACGGCGCGGAGGCCGTTGCAACTCGTGTTATATGTTATTATGCACTTGCACTCGCTGTGCGTGCAATGCGACTTGTATATACAGGCAATCGAGATGTGTGACGCTGCAGCCGTCGTTCCGCTCCGTTATTATAAAACTGCACCGCGCGACGACTGACTTTTACACGCGCTGCACACGGCGCGCACGAATGCGCGTTGTGTGTATATATATAAAACCTATCGCGAAAAGTGTCGCAGCTCTCGCGTCCAGCACGGCATATATACACATATATACAATATAGCTATGCGGCTGTAGCACCGCGATGGTAAGAGTTTGTTGCTGTGTCACACTTGTCACGCTGCACCGACCGCTGCAGTTGCGCGTTCACAACGCGCGCGCGCTTCGTAACAGTACACCTGCCCGCTTTTACCTGACACACAACTCGTTTCTTTTTTTTTGGCATTCGTTGTAGCCTCCGTGTATGTACAACCTTTTCCGTTTGCAATGATGACGCGCGAGCGCGGTGCATCTCGCTGCATCAATGTAGGCTGCTGCTGCTATGAAGTCACGCGATGCACTTCTCGATCTCGCGGTGTAGAGAAACGCGTGCTTCGAAGCTCGAAATCAGCGTGAGACGAAGCTGAATTTTATACTTGTTTACTCTTTGTTCTTATCAATTATTATCGATATACCGGTCTGCGAGCTGTCTCGATCGAACCAATTAATCACGCCTCGTTTAGATTATAATTTTATTCTAGCTCAGCATTTTGACAGTTCCAACGCGCGAATAACTTAGTGATTCAATGATAAATTTACACTCTCGTACCTTTTTTACTTGAAAAATATTTAGATGAGATAAAAATGAGATATTCAAGTATACTATTGAGTTCTTTTTGAAGAAATTTAATTCAAACGTCAAATCCAAGTTTGGTATAAAAATTATTTTGTGATGCTTTTTGTGAAGCAAAATCACACGTTTGTATAGTAATTTTTTATGCCTTAATAATAAATGGAACTAAATTAGAAACACTTGTTATGAGTATTATATGGTAATTGATAACACTTTTCAAATTCACCATTGCAGCATGCTACACGATGCTGCATCTGACTTCATAGTGCTAGAATCCTATTTATGATGACCAGCTAGTCTGGTTGACACCTCCCCAACTTTGAGAGGGAATTGCAGTGGAAACAGGTGCAGGAGCAGACCAGTCTTCCTGGGCAGATCCCCAATCATTATTAGGCTGAAACACAGTTGTGGGTGCACCTACTGAATCAGCAACTGGAGCAGCAAGCGGTACATCATCCGCCCAATTTTCAGTTGGTGCTCCAGGAACATCATTGACTGACCAGTTCTCTGCAGTAGCAGCATCTGCAATGGGAACGTATTCCTTGGCAACCACTGCAACTTCTTTGGCTTGCTCTTCTTTTTCAGCCTGAAAAAATAGATTATTATGTAATGTGTTGTTCATAATAAAATAAGAAAAAATTAAAAGTAAAATATTTTTTCAGAAAAGATTAAGCCATATATACCATCATGAGAAATTTGGACATGAGGTTTATCATCATTTATTAATTTATATTTTTATATGGGTATGACCAAGCAACTTAAAAATATATAGTTATTTCTATAATAATTTTGCTGCACACAACCCGGAGGAAAGTTGCAAGACTCTAAATTTGTGCAATTTGATGATACCAAAGGCCCTATTTTTTTCTTGCAATAGCAAGAACTAGACCAATTTCCCTGAACTCATAAATTCTTTAATATATTGAGAACTCTTTACCTCTTCTGGATCTCGATAGAAGAAAAGATCTACAACTACATCCCATTTGGTTTCACGTGGAATCAATCCTTTTATTCTCAGAACTTCTCTGGCCAAAAACCACCACATCAGACCAATACTATGTTGACCTTTGTTATTGCAAGGAATGGCAATATCAACAAAACGCAGTGGTGAATCACTATTGCAAAAAGCAATAACTGGAATATTGACATAAGATGCCTCAGTGATAGGCTGGTGATCAGTAGCTGGGTCAGTGACAATCAACAACCTTGGCTCACGAAATGCTGCCTAAATAATGAAAAAGTCAAAATTAGTAAAATAATAGTCTTTTCTTACACAACAATATATTATAAGTAAAAAAAGATTAAGCCATAATCTAAAAATATGAATGTGTTTTAATACAATGGTATCATTGTATTTTAAATTTCATCGCATTCATAAATTAAAAATACTTTTGCCAACCTGTATTTGATTGGTAAAGGCTCCAGGAGTAAATCTTCCAGCAATCGGTGTAGCACCAGTATGTGCTGCAAATTTAAGCACAGCCCTCTGTCCATAGGGGCGTCCACTGATAACAAAAACTTCAGATGGATGTTTGATTGCAGCTACAGCACGAGCAGCTAACTTGAGCTTTTCCCAAGTGCGACGCAAATTAAGAATGTGAATTCCTCCACCATCAGTACGACGCTTCCAAACGTAACTTTGCATCTGATAATTTACGTTCTCAGCACCCAAGTGCACTCCTGCAGATAACATTTTTGTGATGTCATCATCTTTAAGGGCGAGAGGATCGTGTCCAGACATTTTTAGATTTTGAATTACGAATCAACCTGGGGTGAAAAAGTTTGTTATTTTCAATGTACATATATAGATGATATAAAATTAGTATCAGCGGGGTAAAAACGTGCATAAAGTAACCTAAAAACAAAGGGTGAAAGCGTTGCGAAAACTGAATCAAAATTTGCAAATCTGTGCAAATTAACTTTACAAGATCAAAAGTGAAGATTAAACACTATAAAAACATTTGCCGAAAATGAAAAACGATTATTGTAGTGACTTGATAGCACAATGTAACATTTTCCGTACCGGCTTTTTAATATTTAACAATTTTTATCAACATTAGCCGGCAAATTGTCTTGTTTGTTGAATTTAGAAAAAAGTAAAAATTTAAATTTACTGCAAGTTACATAAAGAGCATACTATGCTAGTAGGTAAAAAGTAAAAAACCCAAGAAAACGAACACAGTAGAAGTGCAGAGAAATGGGCACGAGCCCTGCTGATTATTATGGTTCGAGTCTAAGGGCGCGCGAGAGAGCAGACATACCGTGCACTCTGTGCATTGTGCAGTGCGCAGTGTGCACTGTGCAGCATAAAAAGGGCCGCTTTAATCGAGCTCTGCATTAAGTCTCTTTCCTTCTACTTGAACTGCAATCATAAGTCGAACGAACTAGGAAAAAGCTCTCGAAATCCGTGTTCAATTTTTCAAAAAGGACTGTTTATGACGCTAGGCATTTTTTTGATATATGTGAAAGGGAAAATCTTACTTGAAGGTATGAAATTTAAAATTAATTTTTCAAAAAAGAATTTATTACACTTTTATGTACCGAAGAGTTAGATGTGTCGCCGCTAGGTGGCCCACAACAAATAAATGTAATTCCCGTACAGAAAATATTCAAGTTAAGCAATTAAGTACAAACACTTGAAATTTTAATTTAGTCATTATAATTTTGTGAATGACAATACAGCTTTACTCCGATTTGTCCCCCTGAATTATTATTTTTAGAATTATGAAGTTCCGACGAGTGTTGAATTTTCTCTTATGTGAGGGCTGTCAATCGCTGCACATCAACCCTCCAACTCCGTGCTTTCTTAAGCGCGAACGAGAGAAATTACCTCTGCGTTTCATTTAATTATGGATTTTTTATTCGTCATTATGACTAGTGCGTTTGTTATTGCAATTGTCACTTCGTCGGTGATATCCAATTTATTTCGTGATCATCGACTGGCGAATTCGTCTATTCTAAATTATATTAACTCCAGATCCTCTCGGCAATTGCATTTAATTGGAGTTTAGAATTAAAACTGTTGAAATTATAAAATTTTACAAATGTAACTAAATTTTTTTATGTCATTGTTATTTTAATAGGTGTAAGCATTATAAATCTACATTTATATCACATGGCCTCTTCGTCAATGGTGTCAAAGTTTGTCGTAAGTCGTCTCGTTCAACCGGTCCAGCATATGACTATTACGATAGTTATAGATAATCCAAGGGTGTGCAATTTTATTTGGCAAATGTGCAATTTTTCTATCGAAACAGAATGTCAAAAAGTGTAATAGTTTAGAAGATATTAATGTCGAAAGGTAGTATCGACGCGTCGAATTTCGTGAATTTTTTACAACAAATTCAAGGGTGTGCAAATGTTGCGAATTGTTTTTCTGAAATGTGCAATTGAAGGTCTATCTGGTGGTATTTTTTTTACCCCCAAATTCGCATTTTCAACGGCCAGAACAGGCCCGGTTGGAAGCATCGCGGTTACCACTTCTTCGGTCAGCACGATGGTGCGAATGCGTCCGAATGATTTCCTTTCAGCGTATGCCGCCTGATTAAATACCCGAGCCTCATGATGTACTGCATTATGCGTTATATCAAGTACATTTCTGCCCACATGCTCTTCGTATGTTTTATTTATCACTCGGATCAATTTCGGATGTATTAGTTTTCAAAATATATTCTTGTTGCATATATAAGGATACGATATCGTGATATAAATCAACCATCGGTTCTTGAGTTTTCAATCGCTCATTAACGCGGTCAAGTGTCGTTGAATATAATTTTGCCTCGTGATCGCGTTCAATCCCATATTTTCGGGGGCAAATCTCAGTAGAAGCGATTGCCTTACAGCTTCTACTATGTGACTTACCCACCGTCGTCCCGAGCATTGAAAAATCACGTTGAGGAAATCTTCCGAGAGTCCTTGTCGCATTTTGGTCAAAAAAATCAACAAGTCCTTTCTCGTTATGACCCGCTTCGGTACACGGTCGCAGTACCTAAAAAGCTCGTCAAATTGTTGCTTCGTAAAACTTGTCAAAACAAGTGCTTGATCGTCCGATAAATCCTCGATATCATCGATTTGCCGACGTTGCAATGAACAATCTCTCATAGCTTGCATGAATCTTTGCAAGTACTGCCCAGGTATCATGTATGGCCGATTGATAGACTGCAAGTTGGCTAACAGAATTAGGAGAAGATGTCCACGTTGATCAAGATGATGAACACATGATCTGACAGTCTCTGGGAAAAAGATATTGCATTGGATGAAAACTTCTACCTTGCATTCTATTGATAATCTTATGCAGATCACCGATGTGTAATTTGGGTCCGGTTAAATTTGATGAAATTTTGTACATGGATGGATTATAACTTCCTGACGCACAAGTTCCATTCAAAGCTTAGCCCGGGGAAATTCGCATTTGTGAGATAATTTGCAAGTATCGGAGCAAGACGCAACTATATTTTCAATCGGAATTCCAGAGAAACAATTCATAAGTTTGTCAGTGATTTGCAAGGGAGTGCACGAAGAATTTTCATCTTCATACATTTTAACCAGGTCCCATAAATTTTACATCATCTTCTTGTCAAAATACTGAACAACCACACACGATGAATTGTTTTTAACAAAATTAAAAGGATTACGCATTTACTTGATGTCGATGAGTAATTAGCTCGCGAATATTTCGCTATTATATACGAATCGAGCCGCTCAACGCCCCCGCGCCGAAGATGTAAGCCGCCAATCGTGCCGCATCGTCATCGCGCGACACCGCGGCTGCCACGTACCGGGGGCTTTAAGCACAATTGGCACTCGATATTATACAGTAGAGCATATTACAATACAGTTTCCAATCGCTCCACATTATACCTATACTGTACGTATGAATATAACGGCAACGGCGACTCGTGATCCTATATATTATATATCGTTCGCACAATACTCGGGAGCCGTGCGTGTATACGTATACCTGCCTGTATAGGCATATGCAGGTAAACTAGAAACACGGCCGCGAGCGGAGTGGAGGTGATTTTCCTGGAACATCCGTGTTCTCTCTCTCTCTCTCTTTCTCCCGCTCGCGCGTATACAATAGACCGATAGAGAAAGAGAGCGCCGCGCAACTACTACCGACTAGCGGCAGTCGAGCCTTTGCCAGACTGCTGCTCTCGGCACGGGCGCTTCCACCTATACATAATATAATAATAATAATAATAATATACAACAACATCCTACTACCTATACACAACACATCCATCTCCGATTCTCGACTCGACGTCGCGCTGAGCTGAGCTCTCTGAGGCAATACAGCAGCAGCAGCAGGGCAGGGATTCTCTCGCCGCCGCCGCCACCGCGACTGCCGAGAAAGAGAGAGAGAGAGAGAGAAAGAGAGCCGAGAGTTTGTCTATCGTAGCACTCGCTGGCCGCAGCCAGTGTCAGATATGTGCGCGAAAATGGCTTTCCAGCACCAGCCTGGTACTGCGATGGAATGCCTCAGCGTAAGTCGGATTATATTTCGGAGTCGACTGCGCTCGCTGCCGTCTTCTACTCCTCTACGCGCACCCGGGTTTTCGTTTCCGCGACGATTTTTTCATCTTTCGCGGCGATGATTTTTCCTGCACGTCTTTTTCGCAGGCTCCCGCGAGTATTCCGTCATCAGCGGGATGATTAAAGAAAAACAGCTATTCCTCCGTTCGAGGTGCTCGACACCGTACACTAACGGTTTTGTTGTGTCTCTGCCAATTCGATTCATCTGTAAGCCAGGACGATAACTGCGAATCAGCTTCTTATTGTGTGTTTTTGATGTGAATTTTTTTAAATCGAGTGAACGCATCTGGAATTGCAGACGAATTGCTCATTTTTAATCATAATAACTTGTCTCAATTTTTTCTGTGCATCGCTCTTCATTTCTTCAAGACAGATTACTTTTAAAACAGTGGCGTTTATTGTAATCTAATATAATTAATTCAATTTTATTTTTTTTATTCTTCAGATTCCAATTACTCTTCACAAAGAAATTGAAATCAATGCTAATGGCGAAGAAGTTATGAAATGTGGTTTTAAAATTGGAGGTGGTATTGATCAAGATTACAAAAAGAGTCCACAAGGCTACACAGATAACGTAAGATAATTTTTTTGCTTCAAATCAAATAACAACATGACTCAAATACTCTATGATTAATTCACTTTTATTAATTCATTTACAGGGAATATATGTTACAGAGGTACATGAAGGTTCTCCAGCAGCGAGAAGTGGGTTAAGAATGCACGATAAAATATTACAATGTAATGGTTATGACTTTACAATGGTAACTCATAAAAAAGCTGTGGGGTATATTCGTAAACACCCTGTGTTAAATCTTTTAGTTGCGCGTAGAGGTGTTACAAGTACTTAAATTAAAATAGGATGAAAGATGTGCTGATTTATATAGCTTGTTTAAATGAAATTTTTATATGAAAGATTACATGAGGTAGAGTTTGTTACAAAGACTTGATATTTACAAAAAAACATTGTATTTGTATTGTATTTATATTCGTAGTTGCATAAAGCCTAAATGAATTTATAAAAAAAGTTTCAAAAATAGAGTATCTAAGGTAATCAGTTAATTGTAATGAAAAATTATTTATATTAAAAGCACATCTTTCATAAAAATTTATATCCAAAGTGTAACACAATAATTATGTTATATTATTATTGTTACTATAGAGTATGAGAAATTGTACATAATTTTTTTTGTAGAAGTTGCTACCATCAAATCTACTAATGAAAAATATTCCAAAAGTGAAGTTAATTTCTAAGTTATATGAAGCAGGCTGCAAAATATTTCTGTCTGATAGATTAATTAAGAATAATTTTAGTCTCATGAAATGATTTAAGACCTATTTTGTACAGAATTTTCAGTATATACTGAAACTGTTTTGTTACAACAAAGAATGAAATTTAAATTTTAATCATTCGTCAAGTGATTTAATATAAAAATCTAATGATAAGACGACTTGAATGACAACTTAAAAAATAATCATGTTTAGACTACAAATGACAATATGAATAGTCTTTGTAAAAATCAATTTTATACTGATGTTTTCATGTTTTATTAAATCAATTTTTTTATTTGGTGACCTAGTCTTCAAAGACCATTGGTAATTTTATAACAAAAGTGCTTTCAATAATTTTTATTCTGCTATTGTTGTGTATATTTTGTTTTAAAACTTTAAAAACCATGTTACATGTAGTATAGACATTACTTCTTTGAATTTTTTTACAAGGAGTAATAATAAATTTCATACTCATACTGATATGAAGCTTAAAATAATCAAAAAGTAGAATCTAATTGCTCTATTTCAAACGATTGATATTATTATCAAAGTAATAATAAAACACTTTAAATACATTTTTTATATCTATCTATTTATTAAAAATAATAAAGACAATTTCACTTAAGGTAGTTCTTATGAAAATACTCAATATCACTCTTGACACATGATTCGATTTTTCTATAATTTCATAGTAAAATAATAATTGTATTAATTCGACAGCTCTCGCGTTAATTTCGCAATTTTTACGGGTAATAAATCTGCGAAATCAATGCTCAAACTATATTCTGTTTCTTTCAATTCTTCAGGTTTCATATTTTTTTTACAATATTCTGCAACAAATTTATATGCCTCCCAACTTTTCTTTGTATTTTCTAATTTTACTAATTTATCACCAGTAATGAAAACATTATACAGTCTTCCGATATGATAGTATGAAGTTAAAACTGGTTTGACAAACTCTTCAGGGAACCTGTTATCTTTTTTTGACAACGCAACAGAGTCAATAAATTTTTTGTAATTAAGTATAGCAGATTTTGCTAAATTATTAACTTTTGTAATTAAATGCACAGTTGGTTTTTCATCTTTATCCTTCAAACGATCAAGTTTAATATTTAATATTTCTGAATAGGTTTCACCAAGTTCAATCCAAATTTGTTGACAAACAGATAAATAATAAGTTTCATTTAGTTGCTTTACTACTCCTTCCAGTAAATCTATTCTTCTTTTATGCATTTTGGCTTGCCTATCATCACTTTCTTCAAAGAAAATCAGATACCTGTAGAGTTCTGACATGTCTTGAATTATTTGCACATACTCAGAAGCTTGGTCTTCAAGTGTATAGTAAGATTTAGCTTCTTCAAGCCATTTTTGAACATTTAAAAATACTTTTTTAGCATCGTCAAAATCTAGTAAATATTTATCTGTTATGTTATTAGCAATATCCTCAATATCCTTTTCAATGGAATGAAATTTGAAGCTATCTAATAACTTTTGACTTATTGGAGTTGTGTCTGCTTTAGGATCCTTTACATTTGTATCATCTGCAGCGCAGCTTGGATACCCTTGGGAAGCAGCTATTAATCGATCTCTTGAGTCACGCATAAGAAGAATTCCATATTTTGCCCAACATCTTGAAACATCAGCTTTTCTATGATTATAAATTTCCCACTTTGCTGCAATTAATTCACTTTCAGCTTCATCAGCTGGTTCTTTTGAACTGAAATGAAAAATATTTTTATATAATAATGAAAACAAAACCTTCATAAATAAATTTTTGTGAAAGGTGAATTATTTTACCTTAAGGATTTCAAATGATCTTCATGTTTTTGTAAAATTAATGTTGCAGCAGCCAGATGGTGTCTGGCTTGTTTAAAACCTTTACTTTCCATAAAAAATTGAGATAATGTTGCAGTATTTAAAGACCAATCAATACTATCATAATCATTCATTTCTAATTGTCTTTTGAGAGTCATATGGCAATAAATTGCAGATTTAAACAGATCTTCCAAGGCACCATATACTTGAGCAAGATAGTAAAGGGTCAAAGTGTGAAGCTTCTCCAATTCATCTTTAGTTGAATTGGTACTGACATCTTCAACTTCAAACAAAGTAGGTGCATCAATTGGAGTATTATCAGCTTCATCTTTAAGTTGGTATTCTTCGTAAATTCTAACAGCCTTATCAATGTACTCTTTAGCAGTGAGAGTTTGCTCTCGCTTTGACCATAATATTGCCAATTGATTTAAAGCACGAAGGGTTGGTAAAATGTTTTCCTTTTTAACATCATATTTATTCAATGTATTGATGCAATTCATTAATAATTCTTCTCCTGTGTTGAGTTCTTCTGCATCAAGCGCAAGTATACCTTCATCTAAGTACACAATGCCAAGCATACAATCAACTTTATACTGTTCTGCGTCTGAAGTAGTTGAGCAGGTGAGAAGCAGATGCCGCAATTCTTTTAAAATTTCCATAGCAGCATATTTACTTTTGTAAGGATCTGATTCAGAATCATTTTTACTGTCTTCGTCAGCTAATTTTTTGTATGCTAAGTATTTCTCTTTGAGATCAGCTTTGAAAGCTTCATCAAAAATTGGTCTGCCACTCATTTTATTGAAGTTTTATCAAATACCTAAAAAATAAATTAAAATATTTACAGATGCGGCAATTAATGTGATTATATTTGTCGCTTATTAATTTTTTCGAATAAAATTCAGGAAAAACGCCTGAATTATAACACACGCAAAATCGTCAAAAATAATATTTTGAAGTCTAACCTTTAGTTTTTTAACTGATGATCCAACAATTTAAAAAGTCTCACTAGTTGTCATATTATGAAAACATACGTAGATTATCGAGCTACTTTGTAAAGCAAAAAACGACTATAGATACTCGCTGTCACTTGAACGTAAATTTTAATTCGCTTTATTCAACGTATCGATTTTTACTATTGATGTTTAGTTACTGTATTAGCGTTCACACTATAATGCAGACGTGCGCTGCAAATTGTTTCTGCAGCAGAAGCAGCTCCCTCGTGTATGTTGCGAAGCACGACGTCACGCATGTTTTAAAGCTCCACTTGTACCCTACAGTAGTAGGTATATGTAACTGTCACTCGGGTACGATACGCGAATGACAACATTAGGACAAATTAGTTAGGTTTCGAATGGATAAAAATCATTATTTTTTCGGTAATGTTTAATAAACATTGTTTATACTATTTTACTATAAAAATTAAGAAGAATTAAGGAAATTAAAAAATTCTTTGATTGGTATAATGTAAAATTATTCAATTAATCACATTTATTGGAAACAACAAATGACAAGAGTCATAAAAATCAAAAGATTTCTGAGTCTTTTTCAACTCCATTGAAATTAATCAAAAAACAGGAGCTGCTGTTTAAATAACATTCAAGTTTTTACAATTTTTAACAAAAATTGGCTGTACATTATTCAACATGAATAATAATAGTATAAATTCTCTCAAAGCTATTTCTTGCTCTCGTTTATTTCTTCTAGCTTTTCTTTTATGTTTTTATGATGTTCTTTAAGTGTGGTAAGATTTTCTTCAATGCCAGACACATCTGCCCATTTTAGATTTTGCATTTTTGTGATAACTGATTGAAGGATAAGCTTAGCACATCCAAGTACAAAACGATTTTCTTTTTCTATTTTTTGGCCTTGTGCGTCTTCCGAACTGCCACAATTTGAAGAATAAAGAGAAATTTCGGCTAGACGTATACACGTCATTAAAACTCTGTTGGCATCTTCAACAGTTTTAAACGAGCTACAAAGAAATTAAAATTGTTAAAAACTGAATTCTTCGGGTTTGAGAAGAGGGTTTTAAAAAATTTTTTATAAGATGTATGTTTAAAAATTACCTTGGATTTTCGCAATGATATGCACGCTGAAGATATTGGACAGCTTTTTGATTATCCATTTCGGTTTTTTTCAATAACGTGAGTTCAGCGTATAAAAGCCAAATATCAGCATTTTTCAAAACTTTCGAGGTCAAATTACCGAACAGATCCAACGATCTTTTCAAGTATTGCCTTGATGAGTTACCATAAAAGTCTTTTACATCATTTACAATTGCTTTTGTCAAAATTGCTAGGACTTCCACGTCTACATGAGTTCCTTTCAACTCCAAGAGACGTTCGTAGCAACGAATGACCTGTGAAAAATAATTTTCATACAATGCGTGACTTATGTGTTGCTATCAACATTGACAAAGGCGTAAACGAATTTTTTTTTACCTCAGAGAAATGTCCCAAATCTATACTGACAACCATTAAGTTATCCCAAACTTCCCATTTATCGTAATTGCATTTGAGAGCGTCTTGTAAAGATCGCCACGCCCGCTGCTTATCGCCTAATTCAATGTAAGCTTTAGCTAAATTATTCCAAACTTCGAAGCTCTGTAATAAAGAAAAGTTTAAAAATAAAAATATATATTCTAAGTAATATTAATCTCTTATATACAATAAATTCATCCATAATCAAAATTTACCGATTGTTCCAAAGCGTTATAATGTCTATAAGCACTAGCTGCGAGTTGCCAATCTTCTACTTGCAAAGCTGCAAAGCCCAGTCTTACCCACACATTTTCTTGAATATTGTTCAGCTCTACTGATCTTTTTAAGTGGGGGATTGCTTCTTTATACTTGAAATATTATAAAATTATGACATGGTGATACTCTTGCATCGAATTTTTTATTGGGAAAAAATTTTAAAAACTTACGTTTTGTTTGATGTAGTAATAAAAGCCCCAGTGTCTTTGCACTATACTACTTTTTTCTCCAGACAGTTCCCATGCTGTCTCGTAATGTTTCTCTTCATTTTCAGCATCTCCAAGCCAACACCACAATTTCACTGTTGGTTTTTTGGCTAGTTCTTGTTTAATAATTTCTGCTGCCTTTTTAAAGTTATATTTTAATTCAATATAAATATTTGACAATTCAATTTAACTTTACTAAAAAATTCTAAACTTAATAACCAAAGTTGTAGATTGAAAATACCTTATGTTTTAGGCCCAAATGTGTATAACATCCAATCACCTGTTCCCACAGTCCAAGATCTAAGTAAATATCCAATGCTCCTTTTTCTAAGCCAATATCGCGCATTACATCTGCTAGATGCTGTTTGAAGCACCATTGAGGCTTTATACCACTAGCAAAAAATAGATCCATTTTAAATGAAACTGGCGGAGATTGTGAGCACAATTGTTCATTCAAATATTCAAGTTGCATTAAAGTTCTATCTATTGTTCTTTTATGCTTCGCTTCTAATAAACAACGCTGGTACAAAGCTGTTACTTTCAGACACCAATTATCAGTATTATCTATAACACACTATTTAAAAAAATATGGATAAGAATATAAGTACTAAAAATGAGTATGAAAATATTAATATACATTACATTCAAATAAGAAATAATTTCTTCATCTCTCAGCAAATCTTTTGGTTGTGATCGCAATAGATGAAAACTATAAATATAGAAATTTAGAAATATGTTTTTAATTTATAAATAATATAAAAATTATTCCTTACTATGCAGCCAAAACAATTGCTTGTTCATAACTTCCAAGTTTAACGATTTCTGTGTCTTCTGTAAATGCAATCTTCTCCAATCTCAAATCATCGGATAAGTTTATCACTTTAGGGAGAACTTCACATGATCTGTAAGGAATTATTTCTTTTTCTAATTTAGGTTTCAAGTAAAGTTGAGCTTTCTCTTCTCGTTGGTATTTGGTACGCTTGCCTAAGGCACCTTCTAGACATAAGCTTAAATGTGCTGCTTCTGCAGCATTATTTAAATATTTTTCAGAACTTTGAATTCTAGAATAATATGAATAAAAATATGCTACTTCAGTGTTAAAGAGCGAAATCTCTTTAACTTCTGTAAGCACATTTTGAGATTCAAAGAGTTGTTTTAACAATTCTTCTGAATCTTTAAACAATACTTCTGAAACATTATCTAAAATTGCTTGATGCACACGATGAGCTCTAAACAACCACCATTTAGAGCTAATGTATAGTTTTTGTATTTGAGAACTATTTAAAACTATCTTAGCAAAATACAATAATTCTGGTTTAGCTACATTTTCATTGCATTGGTCATCATTCAGTGCCAAAGTATTGATTGCTAATTTTCTCAGAGGTAACAAGTAGTCAATATTTTCATTTCCTGATATCTGGTGATAATTATTTTGTATGAAATAGTAAAGTGAAGCAATCGCACCATGAAACCATTTTACACTATCCTCTAAGTCAGAATTTATCAGATTTTTCACATTTTCTTCAAATTCTTCATTAACAAAGTTTGAAAGTTTAGAAGTAAAGAAATCACTATTTAAAACTGATTCAAAATTTCCATCAAGAATATCTTGTATGTAACCACATGGTTTTTCATCTGTAATGATAAAAATTTAATTAAAACTTTTTCAATCAAATAAAAATATGAGGTTTTGATCAAATACCTTCAGATAGTGGTTCATTTGATATTAATTTTTTTTCCAAAGAAATTGTTGTTTTTTCTTCCATTATAATTGATTGAAAAACGAATGTAGATTATTTAAAAGGTATTATTTATTAGTTATTTTTTTTGTATGATTCTTCAATTTTTTTACAAGTTTTAAAACTCGCATGACACCACGCATGTGGATGTGACAGTTACAAGTCTTACTTAACCTAAAATAACAGCTGATTTCTCAAGCCGGCAAAAGATCCATGCACTGCGCAATTGCACATTTAATTGTAAGGCGTGATAACAGAAGTAACAGATAATTAGAGATAACAGAATGAAATAACAGATATATCTTAATAGAGAAAAAAATCTATATGTGGAGATAAATAAAATGCATCTTGTATAAAATTTATAAGATGATTATGTATAATAAAAAATACATCATTTACATTTTTAATAAAAAAATATTTCAAGTTTGAATGTAAAATTGTATTATAAAATTTTATCGTGGACACATGACACTGCGACCTCCATCAACTGGTACAGTTTGACCAGTAATAAAACTAGCATCATCGCTAGCAAGGAATGCAATTGTTTTGGCTACTTCTTCGGCAGTTCCAGGTCTTCCCAAAGCATGAGTTGATTTGCTGTGTTCAAAGAACTCTTTCAATCTTTCTTCGCTCATACCACTACTTCTGTGCAGATTTGTGACAACCACACCTGGATTAACTGCATTTACTCGAACCTTTTAACAAAAAATCATATTAAATAACATTTTGCACTGGTTGAAAGGTTTTAAATGTCATTTAATATGTAATATGAATGGACCTACTTGTTTGGGAGCAAGTTCTAAGGCAACGCAACGAGTAAATTGATCTATAGCTGCTTTACTCATGCAATAAGACAAAACACCAGGAAATGCTCTAGTTCCAGTAACACTGGAGACATTAACAATGTTACCCTTTGTTGCAATGATATGCGGCACAGCCAACATAGTCATATGATAGATAGATCTGACATTGATGTTAAAAACTCTGAAAACGAAAACAATCAAGTCAAACTCTGGTCAAGTAAGCAACTCTTTTTAACAGTTCAAATTACCTGTCATACTGCTCCAAGCTCGTGTTTTCAATGCTTCCATTTTCCAGAGTACCAGCATTGTTGACCAATACATCCAGCTTTCCATACTTTTGCAAAGTCATATCCAGAATTTTCTTGACGTCTCCTTCGTTAGTCATCTCTCCGGTGACAATGAGAGGCGACGGAACCTTGCATTGTTTGGCAACTTCTTGCAAATTAGCAACATTGCGTCCGTGAATGGCCACAGAAGCTCCAAGATGAGACAAATGTATGGCGGTGGCGGCACCGATTCCGGAGCTCGCTCCTGTTACCAAAACAACTTTTCCCACGAATGACATTTTCTCGAATTACAGAGCCGACGGCTATATAAAATGATTGGAACAAAAAAATTCTGTCGTTAATTCAACAAGTTGCTGTTGTTACTATTTCGTCTGGATAATTGGACTGGATAGTTAATTTAATTGATTATTTTTCAAGTGTATAAATTGTATGTCTCACTCACCGTCACCGGTGACTTTCGTGCAGATAACACAGTGTGTGCAGCAAATATCTGCCAACACAACACACGGCCTCAACTGGCAGCGAGCAGCATATCGCGCACGCAAAAAAACACAGTGGGAGGGCCGCCGCTTTCGCCTCGCGTTCGGCGTTGCGCAACAAGTCCGTGTTGTTGTTGTTTTTTTTTTTGTTTGCTCATTCTCTCTTTCTCCTCTTATCGTTGCCTATTACAATTTTCCCTCGGTTGTACACGAAGACGCGCCACCAAAGATGACACCACCATTTCGGTTGATCGAAAAATAAATGTTCTTTGTTTATACTGGTCGGAAGTTAGAAAGTGATTCCGCTTACTTGTTCGTCGGTTTTCTATCATTTTTTTCTTGAAATCAAAGCAGCCGAATCTTGGCGCGTGGGCGCTGTTGTGGACAAACAACGACCCCACCACACCACACGCCGGTCGCAGGCTGCTGTTGCTGCAGCTGCGTGTAAAGAAGCATCGATAGAGACCATATTTTCGGAGCAGCGCTGCGTACACGACTTGTGTGTGTAGCACGTGTTTTTTGTTTACTGTGTCGTGCAAGTACCGAAAGTGTCAAGTTCGCGATGGACAGCAAACGAAAATGTACATTCACGCCGTTCTCGTTCGAGGGTGAGTAGGTTTTCGATAAAACATTGAAATATTGGCCTGTGCAGACAACTTTATTCTTGGACTTTCAATACTATATTGGTATTTTTAAAGGGTTTCGATTTTTGACAACAAATTTTAACCTCATCAAATCTACTCTTAAAAATGTTTAACTTTCTCTTCATATGTCATATTAATATTTTCATTATTATTTGAGTTTGAAAAAGTGGTGGCTCATTGAAATAAATGTGTTGTGGTTAGTCGTTGCATTGATTGAGCGCGAGTTTTTAAATAACCGATAACGCGATATGATTTGGAGAAACGTATTGAAACGCACTAGTTTCACAGAAGAAAAAATTGCTCAAATATTTTTTCAGTGTTAAAACGAAAATCAAATTGATAAATAGAAAATCCAACTTTGAGGATATGTCAATCCACCAGGATAGGACCCAGAGTGCGCTTGTTTATTATTTTTTTTTTTTTTCATTTATCTTTCAAAAGCACACACAGCTTTGATTTCGACTTCCGGCATGACATGCACTTTCCATTTATAAATTACCGGCGTCTTTGTACACACGCTATTTATATTTACTCAGAGCTAAGAGATTCAAACGATCAAAGTCAATCAGTGACTTTTAAATACGAAATCAATTATAATAAATCTTCTTGGTATCTCATAGATCCGGAGACGCCGAGATCGCCGTCGGTGCTCGTCCCGGAATCGTGCCGATCGATGCGCGAACACGTGCTCGGCGTCGAGAAAAACCTCCAAGACTGGCAGGCGTATCACGACATAGGACTCAGATTGCTGAAAATCGTCTGCAACGTGACCGACGAGACTCTGCCGGACGAGCTCCTGCAGCCGTGCGAAAAATTGGACGAGGTCTGCGACAAGCTGGACGCGATCGTGACGAATTTGAAGGCGATCCTGAACAAGATGAAGGCCATCGCCGAGCTGCAGAAGGACAAAGGTCCTCTGTTCCGCACCTGGGAGACGAAAAGATTCGGTATGAAAATTAATTCTAAAATTTTAAAATAATTACGTAGTTTTTTTCATCGCTCGAAATTCATTACAGTCGAGATCACCGAGGAAATCTACGAGTCGTACAGGAAAGAAGCGGAGGAGAAGAGAATAATACACGAGATAGCACCGCGCCAGTTCACGCGAAAGGATAGAGTTTCTAATTGCAGCATGTGGAGAGTCCAACCGTTGATCGATCTCGCGGAGACAAATCGAAATGTAGACTACATGCTTTGGGAAATTGGAGAGATACTGCGATGAATCGCTCGTACGATTCGAGTATTTTTTATATTACGTGTACAAAGTAAGACAAATCGATCGGTTTTGTCAATTTATTAGTTTGTAAGCTGGTGCTATTCTATTAAATATTTTATAATTACGACCGAATTCAATTTTTTATTCAAACACTCCCTCCATCCTTAAAAATTATGAATCGAGATTTTTTTGTTTATTGAAAATATTCATTTTTAATGCTTATTTTTGATATTTTGACATTTTTCTTACAAATTCCGAAAAGCGTATTTTTATCTCGTAACCAAAGCAGTACATTTCCGCATATGCCTATATACGCTACGTATGGGGTCTCGCGTGAGAAGTCCAGACGAGGTAAATCGATCCGCGATCATGTGTCGACGCATCCTATACGAAGAGTAGCGCGTTGGTGCGTCGATTTAAATGGAAAACGTGCGCGACTCTTCGTGGGGATCGTCGATACGCATATTTTCTAGGTGGAGGAGTCATACGTCGATCTAGCGATGTACGGGCGATGCCCACGCATCATCGTGTGCCGTTGTCGTTATTCCCGAGTCACGTCATAGACGAGATAGGCCCCCTCTAAGCTCGAATTTCTAATTGCTTGCGTTCTCACTTTCTATTTTATTCAAATCGTATGATGGTGCATGCGAACGTAGTCAGTGCACGGCCAGACATCGCGCCGTGAACATCGATCGGGACATCGCATCGACGGATAGCTCGTGATCATCGTGAAAACAAAAATTTATATTAAAACAGTGTCGCGTGTTTGTGAGTGCAGTAGCAGCAGCAGCAGCAGCAGCAGCAGCAGCAGAAAAAATGGCAAACGGTCTCGACCAAAAGAAAGTGGAGAAATTGAAGAAGCTACGAGAGAAAGTCGACTGGAAGATCAAAAAAGATCGATGCGACCTGCTCGATCGACTCTGTCCCTTGATCAAAAACTGGCGGGCCCCGTATCCGAATTTGACGAGCATCTTTCGCCCGGACGAGATAGATCGGCTTCTCTCGGACGCCGTGAATCACTGGCCCGTCGACTACATCAACCAGCACGACAACGAGGCGCTGCTGATCGTGAGATTCGTGGCCGAGACCGGCTACAAGGACGTGCCCACCAAGCTGGACAAAAGATCGGGCAGGCCGAGGCTGCGTCGCACCACACCGATACATCTGGCGGCGAGACGCAGAACGAGCGCGCCGATAGGTCGCGGCGACCCGACGACCCTCGAGCTCTTTCGGATTTACGACAGGTACGATCTCAACTACGTCGACGTGACGACGGGCTTGACGCATTTTCACGCCGCCTGCTTGTCGTACTGCCCGAACACCGTCGAGAGATTCCTCGAGCTCGGCGGGGTCGATCTCGTCAATGCCGTCTGGCCCAAAACGCGGGATTCCCCGCTGCATCTGGCCTGCACGATCTGGCAGTGCTGGGACTGGATACACACGGGTGTGGTGCGAGTGCTGCTGGAGCGGGGCGCGAATCCGAACGCGGTCGACGCCGAGGGCAGGACTCCCCTGCACATACTGGCCAAGGTGAGCAGCCCCAGCGCCAGTTGCAAGATGCGCTCGGCCGTGGAGATGATTTTGGATCTCAGTAAAAACAAGTACCGGCCGGTGCGGATCGACGCCAGGGACAAGGCGGGCAACACGCCGCTGCACTGGGCCGTAATGCACGACCAGGACAGGCTCGCCCGGCTGCTGCTGAGGCGGGGAGCCGATCCGAATCTGGCCAACGACGAGGGCCTGACCTTTCTGCACGTCACCTGCCGCAAGTACAACGACGGCCGGGACTCGTTGAGGCTGTTCCACGAGCTCAACGACGAGGCGGCGAGTCAGTGCAGGCATCTGCTGCAGATCGACGCCAGGGACAAGAAGGGCCAGACGCCGCTGCAGTGGGCCGTGGACAATATTCTGCCGGACATGGTCGATACTTTGTTGGATCGTGGAGCCGATCTGTCCAACTTCGTTCTGCCGGATTTCGGAGGCAAGGAATTGGTGCCGAGGCCGGCCGAGTCGTCGTATCGTTTCAAGCTGAGACTGGCCTCGGGTGTGTTCACCGTCGTCGAGCGTCTGCAGAACCGAGGCTACGAGCTGGATCGTAACGAAGCCATCAAGATCATGCGGTTCTTCGCCAGGAACGGACTGTTCGACGAGTCACCGGCGACACAGAGTCTGCTGCGCCCGAAGCGCAAGAAGCCCGCCGTCAAGAGTTGGTACGACGACGAGCAGTTTACTAGTCGAGCGAAAAAGATGATGGTGTCGAAGCAGCCCAACAGCAACGTGACGCTCTACGACCTGGTGCAGTTGCGACCCGAGGAGGCCGCCCGACGAGTCACGTTTCAGCAGTACTTCGAGTTCGCCTGCTCCAAGAGATTTCACCGACTGTTGAAGGCGCACAAGGAGGCCTGCTGCAGGCACGTCTGCGAGAAGATAGCCCGAGGATTCTTCCGTACCTGGGGCTTGGATCCTTTCATGGAGGTGATCAACTTTAGCCTGCCGATCGAGTGCTGCGAACAGATCATGGAGAGTCTGAAGAACGAGGATCTGTGCAACGTTTGCTTGGCGGCGGCGATGCAGAGCGACGAGGACAGCGAGGCAAATGTACAAGTGGATGAAGCAGAATGTGATAAGAGAAGGTCCAAGAGGGCTAGGATAGCTCCGCAAAGACTGCAAATTGAATGGTGAAGATCGTGAAAGTTTTTTTTTTATTGTTGTAATCGAAATTTACAACGGAAGCGAAAAAGATGATGGTTTGGTGGCTCATTAGCTTGGCTTCTGTAGTTCAAAGCTGTTAATGTACAGATGGGCATACTTTCCACAGTATTTTTATTGTTAAGCCTACTATTAATTTTCTAAGTCTAGTCATTGAAATAAATATATTTAAAAAAAATGAGTTTCGATATTTTCATCGATATGCAAGTAATTATATTAATTGAAATAGCTCAAATTGTGTATTAATTACTCCATCACCTTGTCGAAATCCAAGTCATCGTGAAAAATGAGGCCTAAAATGCTATAGACTTACGAGTTTAGCTCGGCTAGATACGAACAACCGTATTTCGATAAAAATTCCAATTTTTGATCCAATATTTTCTCTGAGCATTGCGATATAGCAAATGATATTTTGAAAGTTTGATTTTATTTGTTAACATTGAAGTTTAATGCATTATAAGCGGATCTATAAAGCTTGAAAATATTGTTTTAGTTAGTAATTTGTCAAAAGCAACAAGTTTTTTTTCACTTTTTATTATTTACACATATAAAAATCACTTCCCTGATAGTACTAGATATTTAATGAAAAAGTTTACTATTCGTTACAAACGATGTTGAGATCATCGTGTCGGCTCATACAGCAGAATCACCAACATTTTCTATGGTCGAAGAAGAAATTTTTTTTACCGGCAGGTAAGGATATGATTGTGGGCCAGTTTTTGCATTTAAATTTTTACTCAGAATCATTGCTCCCCCTTTGAAACCAATAGCTGTAATAAAATTATAATCCCCTTTAGACGAAATTGAACAATTTTATTGGGTATTTTTTTCGTATTAGGTAAATAAATTATCATTTTAATCCAAGCTCCGGCATTTTTTAAAGTTGTTCTACGACAATTCATATAGTAAAAGTAGTAGAAGGTAAAAAAAGCAAGAGTTCGGTTGGAAATCCATTATTTAGATATATATTTCACTCATAACAATTATTTATTTATAACAACTCAATCTTTAATTCTAATATTCATTCGAATATTTATATTTAAATTTTCATTTTCATTTTGATAAATAAAATATATCAATATCAATAACTATATTATTCGTTTGTCGTTACAAGAATTTCATACTATTCTCGAACAACAAAATTAAGTACTAGGTTAATTAATCACGCTATTAATTAATTAAATTGTATCATATACAACATAATTGAATACATTCTTTATCCACTCGATTATTTTTCATAATATTATGTAAATAAAAAAAACATTAAATGTGTACATAGGAAAATATTTGCAATCGCTGAATGAATTTCAATGTACTTGAAAACACATAAGTATTGCCTTACTTAAATACTGGTAATTGAAGATTAGTTTTATACAGAAAAAAAATCTCTCGATTCTTTTGAATTTTCGATAACAATTATACATATAGACTGCACACAGCCGACAGGGCAAATTACATCTTCTCGCCTAATCGGCCGCATAAACTTTTTGCATTTTACAACACACGCATTTTTTAATTATTATTCTCACTCCAGCGAGAATAAAGCACACTCATACATACACATATACAGGTAAACACACACAATATAACAAACTGCATTCGAGCCTCCTCAAACCGTATTGGCGTTGTCGCTTCCGTTCTCGCTGGCTTGCTTCTTCGCCGCGATCAGGCTCTCCCATTTCTCGATCAGGTTGCTCCGTCTCCGTGGATGGGGCTGCAATAAAAAAAATAGTCAAATGTAGAAGCAAAAAAAGTCTCTCGCACGTATAGGATCATCAGCACGAGTACAATATAAGCGCAATTAGCCGCGCATGTGAGCGTATGTATCGAGCAACAAGCATATAGCAGATATAATATGCAAAACAGCTAAGCCATGGATGACGATGTGTCTCACTCCTGCAACCAACGTGTAATGTATAACAGCGCAACTCGATATCGCGTATCGTGCAGGTAATTTTCTATGCGTGTATACGCACGCATGCCCGAGCATAAAAATTCACCGTTACACTTATTTTTCTCGCGATCCGCAAACGAGATATACGAGAGATGCTACACACAATCGTAATCGCGTTGCGATCGAGGTACGGTGCGCGCACTCGAGAATGTGAATTATTATCATCATCTATATAGCTACGTATATGCATGAGTACGTGTTGTTATTACATGAATTAGTGCGGCAATAATATGCGTGTTCACACGTGCGGTATATCTATGCGTCTATCTCACGCGGGCTACAATTTAAGCTCCAAAAATATTACAAATGACTTGGCTATTATAACGAGGCAGTGATGTATGTGTGTGTGTGAGAAAAAGAACTACTACGCTTAAATACGGAATATGTAGAGAGAGAGTTGTATGATACGATAAGGCATGAAAAGCAAAAGACAATTACATTTGTGCACAAGACTTTATATTTGTTGCCATTTACTTTGTGCCGAACGATTTTGTTCTCCTTCTCGGCGGGCATCGAGATCGTCATCGCGTCGTCCTCGGTGAGATTGCTGCTCGACGCGCCGCTCCTCAGCGAGCTCGCCGAGCCGTCGTAGATGTCCGAGTCCGTGTCCGTGCCGATGTCCGCCAGATTCGGCTGGGACTTGGCCAGCATCTGCGAGCGCATCAGTCTGTATGCCGCAAATCGTTTGTATTAATTTCATTCGTGAATTCGGCAATTAATTTAATGTATCGTACCTGAGCTCGTTCTCTCGCTCCCTCATCTCGCTCAGCTCCTTCTGTATCTTCTTCTCCACCGGCACGAAGTTCTTCCTGGTCGGCGGCAATTTCGGCTCGTCGTCCATGGCATACTTCTTGGGGCTGCCGTTATCATTATTATTATTGTTGTTGTTGTTGTTGTTCCTCATCTCCAAGCTGCGATTCAGCGCCTTGATGCTCTCGGGATTGAGGGTGATGGTGGGCCTGGGCAGGGCCTCGCGACTGTCCGCCGTTGCGACTCCACCGGGCGACGTGTAGATCTTGCCTCGGGTCGCCAGGAAGCGATGCATCAGGCCCTTCTGGCTGGGCGACTGGGCGAATCGCAGCGGCTGATGATGATGATGCTGGCCGAGGCTGCCTGCATTGCTGCCGTTGCGCGTCGACGATATCATCACTCCGTTGGTCATCTTTTTCGTGGCTTGTTGCTGCTGCTGCGTCGACGATCGATTATGATGCTCGAGTATGTGCGGCGTCGAGGTGGCGCGTTTCAGACGACCATTGCCCAGCTGCGTCACTTCGGAAATTCGACGCACCTGCGTACGTAATAGATCGAGTTTCGTTTAGTTTATATTTTTCTATTTGATATTTTCTTACGAGTTATTCCGAAAAACGTTTTTTTTTTTTTAAATTGTCGCGTCTACTCGCGAGCTTCGACGCTCCGGTATCTCCGAAATCACAGCTCAATTAACGGGTAAAAGCCGGCGCGCGAGTCGTGTAAAAAAAAGCAGCGAAACTAGTAGTGTGCCACCGTAACAACAATGCATGTGTATCACTTGCACATTTATACACGTACGCGGCGTTGCCGAGGCTACGTACAAAGTCGTGGGAAAAGAATGTATATATACATAGCTGCTGCTGCTGCCTCGAGAGCTTCGAGCGGCGCAGCAGCGGCAGTTAATAGCAAAACAACGGGTATTCGGTTCGTTAATTTTAAAAAGGACAATTTGACGCTGTAACAATCGTGGAATCGTCGAGCGACGTTAAAATTTGATTATAAATGTATATAGCCCAGAGAGAGAGAGAGGGAGAAAGCCATTGGGACATAATTTCACGTCTTTGTTGTTGTTTTTTTTTTTTTTCAATCACCGTGATTATACTACTTGGGCAAAATATCGCCAGGCGGGCATAGGTATGTCAAACGGTTATTGTTTGGCGCTTATATACCCGAGTTATTGAAATAGCTCGCTAATGACACGCTTTTATTTCTGGTAAAGCTCAAATTATATATCATTGTAAAATGCCACTTGCGCGCGCGCGCGGCAAAGAAAACTATTGAGAAATCCGCGCGAGTATAAGATTTAGACCGATTACATCGGACTATATGCTTTAAAATTTGTTCCTTTTACCTTGGAGTCGACCAGATCCAACGACAGCGTCTTTATGCTGCCACAGGTCCTGAGCTCGTGCTCGCGCTCCGTCACCTCCTCGATCTCTCGCTTTATCCGATCGGTCGCCTTACGCAACTGATCCACTCGGTGCTGAATCTGTGCGACAGAAGAAGAGAAAAGCGGCGTTGTAATAATTGAATTTCAAACGTGTACATATAAACGTCATTCTTTCCATTCTATTATAATTTTTTTTTTTTTTCTAAAACTTTATAGCGCGCAGTAAAAAAGGCTTTTTTGCTCGAGCGCAGTTTCTTCGTAACTTATCTAATCGGAACGGCAACGGCATTTTTGCGAGGCTATAATGCGCGCCGATCGTCGCAGTGATTATTATTATACCGCGCGCTGATACGCGATTTGAAAATCAATTACGAGAGCTTTTCATTCGGGCGTTTTTTTTGTTTTTAGATAAGTTGCATCGTCTGTTCTGCCGAGGAGTTGATGAGATTTTTATCGCGTAAATCAATGTCTTTTGTTGTAATATTAATGCTTTGATCGTGCAACTGAATTTTTAATGATATCACTTCACTAATTTTTTGTTGCTTTTCAAAAAACGCAAGATTCACGAACACAAGCTCGTCAGAGGATCATTTAAGCAAACTCGATAAAATCGGAAGAAAATGTAAAATCAAATTGAAACTCTAAGAAAAAAAGTTATCATTTTGAATTACACAGTAAAAATAACACGTAAATTTCGAATAATTTTTATGGGCATTTGCACCGAAATATTCAAGTAGCTATACTTCAATGACCATAGTTTTTACAAATAAGTATACTTTAAAATTAAAAAAGTTTCCTCGTAAAAATCAATGATTTTCATGCGATAAATGATAAAACTACCAATTTTAAAATTAATGAAGTAATACTAATATTAAAATCAAAGTAAATATACTGCGAGTTCAATTAACCAATATGTGAATTTTTAAATACAGATTCGAATATTGTTGTAATTTTATGAAAATCAATTAGAATATTTTCATTAAACGTAACTCTAATACTGCGACAAATATTAAATTTCAATGTATTGAGAGCTGACGCAAGCGTGTTGAGAGTTCTTCATACATAACTCTTTTTTCAGGTACGTAGTAGTACATAAGTTACCCCTAGATGGCGTGTGGCCGAATTCTCAAAAACCAAAAGAGAAGAGTCAAATAATGATATTATAAGTCAATGGACGAACCAAGACATATGTTATAATTCTATTATTTTGATCCAATAATCGTTGACAACTAGTGAAAATTCAAGACTGGTTGAAACTCGCATTAAAATCCGGTCTGGCAAATGCTACCAGTATTTTACTTGAAATATCGAGCCAGAGAATTTTCAAAGTGTATACGATACTCTGATTATTATATGTCTTCGACTCGATGGAGCATTGAGTAATATTCGAGCATACATGCAAATTCATAAGTGGGAATTCGAGCCGATCGGCAATTGAATATGGTGAAATCCGAATGGTCCATTATGGTTCAACGTACTCGGGTATACATACATACACGAATCAATTCACGGTATACATATACACGGCGCACGATATCAAGAGCCATCGAGGCACTGCAAAAGGAATCGAATAATCGTTAGTCATTGCGAACGCGGATCGGTGCGACGATGCACGGCCCGTAGCCGCGAGCAGCCGGTAAAATTCGATGGAGGACACACGATCGTCGCAAGAGAGCCGCGTCTCATTGACCGACAATATCTCGTGCGCCTCTATCGCCGGCAACGATCGTGAAAGGTTTATAACGTTTTTGATTTTTTTCTCTCTTCTTCTTCTCCTCTCGTTCAGCGGCCGAATGAGAACGTGCTCGCGAGACTCACAGCTGCATACAATACAGCTCGCGGTTAATTTCCACGCAAAGCGCCACGAGTTGCGAGCAGCTCGTAATGTCATTAGGAGCGACTCGAAGTAGAAGAAAAAAAAAGAACCAGAACGATAGGTTTTCCACGACTCCGTCTCGTGCGATTATTGAATTGTCCGCGCGCAGCCTGAAGTCCGATCGACGAGTTCGAGGCCCGTCGTCTCTCGCGGATCACCTACTTTTACGCGCGCGGCTCGACGTTTTTTTTAAAAACTATCGCTCTGCACTTGTGCGTGTGTGCGTGAGATCGAGCCGAAGATGCAGAGAAAGTCGAAAAAGTACATGCGAAATCATAATTAGCTCGCAGTCGCGCGGGAAAACTCGAACTTTACGTAATACGCGCCGGGGCAGAGAGAGAGACACATTGTTTTTATGCGTATATCGATACGCGCGTGATCCAAATCGTAAAATATTTAATATTATTTATTCGTAATCGCTTTCACTCGTCTGTATATACGGTTATCGACGCGGCTAATTTTACATATACGTAATATACATCGATGTATACACGGCAAAAAATGAAATGCACACGGATTATGGCAGTTTTTTTTTCATCCCCCCGCGGTGTACTTCGAGTTATGATGTACACCGCGAGAGATCGAGTCAATTGCAACGGTTTATACATATAACAGCGAAATACCGCAAATCACATTATGCACATTGTGTATAGCTATATACAGTCGAATATATAATGCATTGTATGCGCGCGTATCGCGGGAGGCAGAGAGGAGATTGATGCTACTGCCTTGTACATATATAAGTGGGCCGACCGGTCAAGATCGTTAATAACCGTCTCAGCTGTATATGCATATCTTTAAGTTATCCAGCACCTGCGCTGCGATATCTGTAAAACTGGGGAAAAGCCCAATGGAAGCGATACAATCTATTGGGAGTACATTTTCGAAAAATCGACTCGTTCCGCGTGCGGTTGATAATTACGCGAACTAAAGGAAAAAAAAAACAAAAACAAGAAATATCAAGTTGAGCAGTTAAAGCTCTCTCTCTTTCGTAGAGCTTCGGGGCAAGACTAGTTTCAATTATCGAGTACTTAACGAGGTTGTTTCAATTTTCATCGCTGCGACGCACGCCGCGACGACGTTAGTCTATATCATAAATACATACACCGTTTTGCAGCTGCGAAAAATTGTCACAATCTTACTTCCTGAAGCGAATCGAAAGCCTTCGGAGGGAGGGAGGGAGGTAAACGTCAAAATTTTTCTGCGAGTTGGATATATACACTCGTGTCACCGCGAAATACGGGTATTTACTCGTGCGAGGGAAAGTTACATATTGCGCGCTCGATACGATAGCGTATATTTCAGAAACGTGACCGTATAATGTACTCGGGCTCGATGTACACAATGAGAATAATTATAAAATTGCTCGACGTTGAAGCATCTCGTGGGAGACTTTTCAATCGATCCAGTTTAGAATTTTACAATACCGTCTTCTCCGTTACTCGAATTATTGCTTTTTAATTTTCGATGCACCCCCGCATAGCAGTAATCGCGTTGTTATTTGAATATGACCCAAATACGCAGATACTCGAGTTCTCGTCCGACTTTTTATAATAAACAGCAGCTCCCGCGGGAATATATTCGCAGTTCCGCAGCTGACGAACTAATCAAAGATATGTCAACGTCGCTATACTCACGATTAATCCGTTAGGAAGCGCGGCGCACAAAAGGATCGCCTGTGTATATATAAAAGTACTTCCAGAGAAAGAGAGTAAGAATCTGCAACGGCAGAGAATCAACACACTTTATATATACGGGATACACACTGGCACTTGGACTGGCACGGAATAAAAAATAGTATGCCGCTGCCGCTCTGCTCACTTTTGCTCGCCACGGAAAGTAAATTTTTTCTCGTACTTTTTGGCGCAAAATTATAATGCAGCCGAGTGCATTTGCGTCGAGTACCGCGTTGTATATAGGATATATAGCGTAGTGCACTGCAGGCTCGATCGTTTCCGACTGAATTGCGGTGGCGTACGACGACGACGATCTCTGGTCAGCAGCTGTGTGTCTGCGGCCGATCGCGTGGAGAGGTAAAAGGAGACCGCGCGAGCGGCTCGAGTCCGCAGTCGTGTATATATGTATACGTATAGAGGTACAATTGCTCCGCGGCGATCGCGGACGCACACACAGATACATACACACACGCGTTTGCCGGACGCTTATATATATAGTAGGGATACATACGTATGCTCTGCGAGGAGGCGATTTTTTGCCTTTACTTTCCGTTTTATGAAAGGACCTCGAGGAGCGAGATGTTCCTTTTTTTTATTTAGATCATCGCGCGCATTTTTTGCGTGTATCGTTCCCTCGTACGTATATGTATGAGGATATAACGATGATAATATACAAAAGCATCGAGAGCAGTTTTTATTGTCTCTGACCATAACACTCTGATATATGTGTATGTGCATGTGATGTTTTTGTTTCGACGCGAGACTCTGAGTAATCTTTTATATATGGCCGATTCTCTGTGAAATCGAATGGCCAAAAAATTTTTTTTTCTGCAAATATGAAAAACTTGTTGTATTTGATGTCAGAAATGTCCCCAAATTTTATTAGAATTTTTGGGGCCTTCTATGACACTTTTTCAGAGGCCCAAAGTTGGCCATTTTAGGGTTTTTTTGAAATTCATGAAAAATCACAAATATTAAAATAATTCCTGGATTAAAGTAGAATGATTCAAAAGTAAAAGTGCCCAGCAACTTTTTTGTTGGAAATTGTCCAAATTTTCAGAAAAAAAATATGCCAAAGTGATTGGAACAATCTAGGTAAGTGTAAAGCAAAAAAACTGCCAAAGGGACATAAATGATGAAATCTAATCGAGTTCGAACCGGACTTTCATTTCCTAAACTATGTAAAAAGCTTCCCAAAGATGTCAACTACTGCCTGATAAAGTTTTGTAATGGGTCTTAAAGTTTAACGCAATGTAGACAACAATGTGTGGCGAAAAACATGCAAAAAAGGTCAAAAATAGGCCCAAAATGCCTAAAATCACCAAAAACAGCCATTTTCAGGCCTTTTTTGCATGTTTTTCGCCACACATTGTTGTCTACATTGCGTTAAACTTTAAGACCCATTACAAAACTTTATCAGGCATTAGTTGACATCTTTGGGAAGCTTTTTACATAGTTTAGGAAATGAAAGTCCGGTTCGAACTCGAGTAGATTTCTTGTTTTATGTTTTTTTTTTATGTTTTCCCACTATGCTCTCTTTGGGTGGC